CTCCTCCTTTATCTCACCATCTTCTAGCTCGTCCTCCTCTACCTTTCTTTCTTCTTGCCCCGCCTCAGGCTCCTCCTTTATCTCACCATCTTCCAGCTCGTCCTCCTCTACCTCGACATCGGCCTTGGCTTCACCGTGATCAACTTGACCCTCTTCCACCTCGTCGGGTCTTTGCTCTTTGGGTTCGCCTGCATGGCCTTTGATGTCGTCTTGTACTTTCTTGTCTTCGTCTTGAAATTGAGCTTTCCTCTTTTCAGTCTGGTCGACCTGATCTGTGACTTTCACCAGTGGTGATAAGTGTTCATTCATGTTGATGGGGCTGTCAATCTCTTCCATAGGGTGCTTCATCAGTGGTTCATTTTTTTGGTACTTAGCCTTCTCTGACTTCCGCGATCCCTTCCTCGAACCTTTTCTCGTAATCTTTCTTGCCATCGTAAAATGTGCTATTGTCACTAAACATATTTTCAGTCAGTTGCGGCGACCATAATTCAAACTCTGGTAAAGACACACAGACCTTGCGACCGACTTGAAGCATAGTATGCTGTCGTAGTACATGGTCCTGACGGATGGATGGACTCCATATGGCCATCGCAAGTGTCTCAGTAGTTACAATAGAGACGAGCGAACTAAGCGCCTTAAATGGTGAGTCAAATTGTTGTGTGTCAGAACACTATTGTGTAGGCGCCTTGCGCTTGCGTGTCTTCACTGCTGGTGCAAACAGTGGAAGACATGACAGCGTACCACGACTGCGGCGAACACGCACGATTTTTGAGGTACAGCTTGAATGGTGTTCCCGCTAGGAATCGAACCGGTGACCATGGACGCGGTAGGTACTGTTCCTCTTTTTACCACAACGCTTCGGTGCCTTAATTCTGGTTTGTCGAGCATACCCCCGCTGCATCCGGAAGCCGAGACTGACGGGTCGATTAGTGGGGAGCAACAAGCGTGTCAGAACGAAGACGAATGCCCGATCAAAAATGGTTGTCAGGACGCATTCGAAAGTCATATTGATAGGCTCAGCGATTTACTGAACGTAGAACACTGGAAAAGAGCACCAGTCTTGGTCGTCTCGAGCGTCCGCGGTTTCGGGGACTGGCGCAGGTGTTGCATTTGCTATCAAGAAAACCCGTGTCATGAGGGTGGAGGATGCAGGCAAGTCAAGTTAATTGATGATCCAGAAATGGACCTGAAGGGCGACTGCGGCATCTATTGTACTACCTACGCGCTGCTGAATGCCTTAGAGATGACTAGATGGTCTGGCCCGGCAGTATCAAGTCCTACTTTGTCGGGTTCAACCCGCTCCGAATCAGCCCAGTCCGAATTGCCCCCGTCCGGGTGTGCGCTGCCTCTCATTTTCCGTGTGGCTTGGTCGGCAGTGGTATTGGAGTACAGCGAGAACGTTTTGCCGTTCGCTCTGAGTGTGGTCTACGCTGGTTTATTTCGATTGCTATGTGAGCAGTGGTACACGGTGAACGTGGCAGTGGGGCGGGCGAGCGTGGAAGAAGTGCCGTGGTCTTATATCCACGAAGTGGCGCCCTGGCTTTGTTCCTTGTTTAGAGACAAGCTTTTTCGTGAGTTGCCGGCGCCGCAGATTTTGACGAGGAGTGTGCTCCGAAGCATGGCGAGTAGCCAGCCGCTGGACGCCACGTACCAGCAGCTGTGGTCCATGATGAACGCCCACGATTACCAATGGCAGTTCAGTCTCCCCGTACTCGTGGCGAACCAACGCTGGATTTGTCATGCCTATCCCCGCTGGGACCGCTTTTACTCCGAAGACCGCTCAGTCATGCCCGTGCCCGGTCTGGAGCAGAGAGCAGCACAGCTGGAGCAGTCCTGGCTAGCCGGCTCCTCTCTGAATGAATCCTGGTTCCATGGGACCTTGAACAAACTAAAATGCTACGCCTGTTCTTTGTCCCGTGCATGTCAGTTCACGCCGTGTTGCCTAACGCCGTTCCACGAAGAATGCTGGGCCAACGTCGAGGCCAACGCCGAGGCCAGTGAGTCGTTCACCTCAGCATCGGTAAACGACTCGCCGGGGGCTGTTCGGTGTCCAGTGTGCAATGCTCTGATTCTGATGCGAGGTGAATTGCGGGGCTCACGCCTCGAAACCGAGTTTACAGAACACCTCCAACAGAACGCGAGCTACAACGTTCCTTTGACGCTAACGGATCTACCGCAAGACCCCGACACCTCTCCCGACACCTCTCCCGACACCTCTCCCGTCCCGGTTTTGGTGTTTGTAAGAACGACCAGCGAATTTCAAAACGCAATCGACTCATTCTACCTGATGGCTACGGTGCCAATAATTATAATGCAATCGCTCGGTCTCCGACAGAGACTTGCCCAGCCGCTAATCCCGACCAATCCCATAGTGGACCACTGCGTATACAAGCGCTCCGTCTAATCGGACGTAAGATGTGTTACGCTGTTTAAGAATGCAGTTCGATACACTCCACAGAGGTCTAAGAAGATGCGTTGGTTGGTTAAGGTAGGTTATGCCTTTTGTGTCGGTTGAATGCTCTGCGAAGGCAGCATGCATGGTTCAGACAGCAGCGATGACAACACTCGAGGCTACGCGAGAGACAGCAAAGTGGAAGCATAGGGCTTGGGATCGTCGCCACGTGAATGGAGTGGGGGCAATTCGCCACTCTCTGATGGCAGATGTACGACGGCAGACGCCCAGCGTTGGTAGAACAGCAAGTACCGGCAGCGTACAGGATCGCGACTGGAAAGGGTACTCGCTGGCATCACTCCAGTACCTCTCGAGGTTATCAGATTCGGAACAAGTGGTTGGTCGAATAGCGTGGTAGTTGTTTTAGGATGCTTATATCGTCCAGCAGCTCTGAAATTTGCCATGGCCTATCCTCTTGGGCACCTTCCTTCGGCGCCCGGCCGAGCCGTCTTTTTTAGTCACAATCAGGGCATGCATGGCATCGTCTCAACCCAGAGCATCGTCTCAGGAAAAAAAAGACAAGAAAGCCTCGCCTCTTGGTGGAATCTCTTTTACGGAAAAAAGAGGCGCATGGCACTGCTTGGAATCGAGCCTGTGACTCTGGACGCTGTTGGGCCCGAGCCGTTGTTTATAACCACACTTAGATCTCTTAACCACGGACTGAAACAGCGGACCCAACCACCGAAGCTGGACACGAGAAGGGGACCCGACTCGGTCGAGCCTACCCGTTCAAGCGACTCCAGTTCTTCTTGCAACCAGGCCAACGATGACGCAGCGCCGCTTCCGAGCGAAGAAGGAAAAGACGATCCAGTGGAAGAATACAACGGCGTGGGTAACGATTATCACAATGACCCGCATGACGGCGATGTGCAGGCCGGCGATGCGGAGGCCGGCGTTGCGCAGGCCGGCGATGTGCAGGCCGGCGATATGCAGGCCGGCGATGTGCAGGCCGGCGATATGCAGGCGTGTGGCAACCACGTGGAACAACAGGATGCCCTCCCGGACCAATATGTTGGCGATTACCCTAGAAAACCGACAGATCAGGAACTAGACGGCGCGGCTGACCAAGGCGGAACATTTAGGAATGGATCCTTTGGCAGTGCGAATGGAGCAGAGTCGCCGGTGCTGATTGTGACTACAATTCGAGGGCTTAATGACTGGCATAGATGCTGTATCTGTTATCGTGAAGATCCGTGCGATGAGAGCTCAGGTTGTAAGCGAATAAAGCTGATTAGCGACCCCAGGCACGACTTTAGGGAGAAGGGATCAAGAATCTACTGCTGTACTTACGCCATGTTGGATGCCCTGAGGATGAACCTTGACGACCATTTCATTTTCTCCATGCTTTGGGCCGCAGTGGTCTTGGAGTATAACGAACTCTGTTTGCCGTTCGCGCTGTCTACGACATCCCTGTCTATCTTGCGATTGAGATGTGATCAGTGGTATACCGTGAACGTGCCGCGGGTAGATAGCGGCGATGTTATGTCTTGGCTCTACATCTATGACCTTGCACTGAGTTTTAGTTCCGTGTGGTCGCGTGAGGATCGGTCGTTTCTAGACTTTGAGGCCTCTCAAATATTGACCAAGACAGGTGGCGTAGCTGCCTTTAACGGCAGAATGTTGGGTGACACGATAAGCAAACGGCTTTGGATCATACTCGAAAATGATTGTGATTGGAATTTCAATCTTCCAGTACTCAAAATGGAAAAATGGATCTGTCAGGCGTCCCCTAAATGGAGTCGTTTCTATCATGAAGACCGACTATCTCTTCCACAATCTGGACTCAAGAACAGAACAGCACTTGTCGAAAAATGTTGGGCAAACGGCACTAGCGAACATCTACTGTGTCAAGCGTGCTCTTTACCCTACCCTGATCAGTTCACGCCTTGTTGCATCACCTCATTCCATAAAAAATGCTGGAGGATAGAGGGAGTGTGTCCTGGCTCAAACACTAGGTGTCCCGTGTGCCATTCCGTTCTCCGTAAGATGTGTCCTCTGGGTCAGCCCGCAATCGAATTCGCGACCGTGAAATCCGAATATGGTCACTTCGCCATTCGTAAGGACAAGCAAGCCGGAAACAGATTCTGCTTGGTGTATGTCAAAAACCCTTCGGAGTTGGAAGCCAGTCTCCAAAGCCCGAACAAACCGGACACGGTCCCCATCATAATTCTGGTGTCCCTTGGGCTCAGGCAAAGGATAGCAGAACCGACAATCCTCACCAATCCCTCCCTCCACCATTGCATATACTCAATATAGAAATGGAAAGAACACACGCGTGTTATCCCCCAATGAACTACACGCTACTAACCACAATCAACCAAAAACTGGTCGCGCGGCGCACCAAGCGAAACACAGTTGAGTTGTTCAGGGCGCTGCATCAGCCGACTCTCTGGAGGTGGCTGAGAGTCCTTGAAGAGGCCAAGATCAGGTGCCGCTTGTCGCTCTTTGTGTCAATCAACTCGGGTACACGCCTGGCAGAACACAGACAGACGCCCAAAGCAGGGTCATCCGTCTTCAGTTTCTCCGACCAAATCCAATGTCGTAGTGCAACAAACACGACAACCCTGCCCGGATCTTACTGCAAAAACGATCCTCGAGTTCTTCATTGATCGCCAACGAGCCATAGTCCCCCTGGTCGCAGTCCCCCAAGCGGCATCTCCGCCAAACCCAAGTGGCCATCTCTCCGGTCGCCAATCTTCAGGTGGCATTTCCTCCGGTCTCCCAAGCGGCCTCTCAGGAGGCCTCTCAGGTCGTCAATGCTCAGGACGCCAAGCCCCAGTTAGCAGACACTTGGGGATCGGGTGGGGCACTCACTCATTTGCTGGATGGCGCTCGTCGACTTGAGGTAGATGAGGAAGCCCCATCGTGACCGCCTTCGATAGAGTTCCATTCGTTCCACCGCCTTCGTTTCTATGGCGTGAACCCTCCACTCCCCGGGCACCCCACCAACCCGCTCAAAGTACACTATCCTGACAAACTTAATCCGGCTTTCACGGCACTTGTAACAAGGCAGTAGGAGAAGGCTGATAACGCTCAACAGTGACACCAGCAGTGTGCGATTTTCCTGTCTGTTCCCACAGTGCTGCGATCGTTATTTAATTGCGGATTCGTATAGTGGAGACGGGCAGTATTCTGCGTATGATAAACCCTCTCTGGGTATGGCCAGGAGGTCTGTCATTGCGCCTTTCAGCCATCTCAACATGTCACAGTATTTCTCCGTTGGCCGGTTGGCTTGATGTAGTAATCGTTGCAGATTGATCGGGCAGTATGGTGGGACGGATATACCGGGCAACAGACCGTCATCTTTGACGATTTCTATTCGTCAGAACGCTATTGCGACATGTTAAGATGGTTATCCGAAAATCCAATCAAGGTCCCCATCAAAGGCTCAATGACCGACCTACTCGCAACAAACTTTGTCATCACGAGCAATCAAGACCCTGACGAGTGGTATCCGCAAGTCCCCGACAAAAGCGCACTGCAAAGACGAATAACAGAAACAATTCACATGACCGAAGTTTACGTTCCGAGTGAAACAAAGTTTTTATGGTGAGGTATTTAATGTAACAAGTGTCCCCGAGTCACTTGATGCTTGGTTGGTGAGGCACAGAGGCGAGCGGCGATTTGGGTGACTCACGGTGCGCGCACAAAAGTGTGTGTACAAACGCGCACACATGTTTTCCTACGAGATGGATTCCAATTCTGACCTTTTTGCCGAAGAGACTCAAACAGAGAAAAACTTATAAATTAAAGCTATCTGATTAACAAGGTTTCCCCCCTATCAAGAAAAAGAAGGGCCAAAATAATTCGTCTTGCCCCCTCACTCAATCGCGGACTTAAACTTCGTTAGAATCTTGTACGCCCCTCCCTCTGGATCAAACCACCGGCCATTCGATCAAACCTCTGTCTGTCCTCGGGTTCCCTCCGTCTGTCTTTGTGCTGCCTATCTTCGTGGTTAAGTAGTGGGGTTGGTTGATTGATTGGTAAGTCAGAAAAATTGAAGCCGTAGGAAGAGGCTGCCATGACTTTGACGTACAGCAGTGATACGTTTGAGGGGGTGGCCTAAGTTGTTGGTGATGCCGAAGTCGCCGACGAGATCTTCTTCTTGTGCGAGAGAAGCGCAAAATCTGCGGGCGCGTTCGCGCATCTCCTCGGATGCGTTGGCTGCCGCCTCGGTTACTGCATCGGCCACGAGGACGTCATTGGCATGAAGTCGAGCGTCATTCTCTGAGTACGGATTCCATTCCAACTCAGGGTGTGTTCGAGCCCAAGCACTCCCTCGAGGTGTCACCGACACCGTCTCTGACATCATGCCTACCACAAACACGTTCTCCAATGCCCCCAAATTCGCATCCCAAACCTCCATTATCACCTGTGGGGCATCAATCAACAAAGCACCGAGAAACGCCGACTTCGCTGACGACGACTCGCCACTACGTATTGCTCGTACTGAACGCGACATCTCAAATTTTAATTAAACCCAAATAGCAAACACTTCCCACCAGTTAGCACACACTTCCCAGCAGTTAGCACATTCCCAACAACGTTCGGAGACAACTGGCATAGCGTTCGTCCCTCCGTAACCGGGCGGCATTTGGCTCGAACTCAGCTCACTATCGTCTACGTCCACACGCCTCCAGCAGACCCCACAATGGCGCCCCCGGTTGGCTTGTTGGGTAGATATTCGGTGCCTACTATTCCTCAAAAATACCTCCAGGCTGGGGACGGTGTCGTGGTTGTCTCGATCATTCTTGTCGCGCATGTGGTCTGAAAAGTCGGAAATAAGCAAAAATGGGGTTGCTCGGAATCGAACCCGTGACCCTCGATGCCGTTGGTACCGCTCCCTTGTTTACGACCACGCTTAGGTCTCTTAACTACGGACTGAAGAAAAGGGCCCAACAACTAGATACTGAGCCGACGGGGAAGAGCCCACCCGTTCAAGACAAGCTCACGTGTTCAATTGGCGATGAACGTACTGCAGGCGAAACTGAAGGCGCGCTAGGCTCAGTGAATGAGGCACGAGATGCGGAGAACAAAGAGAACGAAGCCGACAAAGGGAACCTGAACGACTCCAAAGATGATGACTCCAAAGATGATGACAACGAAGATGATGACAACGAAGATGCCTGTCAAAAGGAAAAGGAAGAACGGGACAAGGACGAAGATGAAATGAGTGGTAAGACGCAAGATGTGAAGGGCAACGATGACGGTGCAGTACAGAAGTGGGCAAGGCCTCCAATTCTGGTTGTGACCTGCGTCCGGGGCTGGCAGGATTGGCACAAATGTTGCATCTGTCACCAGAACGACCCTTGTCACGATGGATCAGGCTGCCAAGAAATCAAGCTGATTAAGGATCCGGTGATAGGCGCGGTGACTATTACTGGTGAGTACAGTATCTATTGCTGTACCTACGGGACGCTGCACCGTCAGGAGGCGAGGGACGGCAGCATTTTCGATGTGCCGTGGGCTGCAGTTGCACTCGAGTACATTGATGTGATTTTCCCGCTTAGTCGTTGGTCCATATTATTGAGCCTGCTCCGTGTGAAATGTGAGCAGTGGTACACAGTGAACGTGGCATCAACAGACACATCTGTCGCGGCATGGCGTGATATCCACGACGCCGCATCATGGTTCAATGGGGTGTTCTCAGCAGATTTGCTGCATGTTTTGAGACATGTCGACGGTTGGCTGATGAGCGGTGGCGCGGACATGAAAGGCCTGGCTTCTGCGGTGTCCTCTGACGCCGGCCGTAGCCGACTTTGGTCTATGTTCGAAAAGGTGGGGGGTTGGCGTTTCAGTTTGCCGACTCAACTGTCGGAATTAGTCTTACTGTATCATGCATATCCTAAGTGGGATTATTACTACGAAACTGATGCCTTAACCATGCCTGCACTGGGGATAGAAGCTCGAGCGAGGATGATGGAAGCTGCCTGGGTCAGCTCAGCTTGGTTTGGTCCGCACTCGGGTTTGTTTCCGTGCGGAATGTGTGCCCAATATGGGTCTACTGTTTGCACTCCGTGCTGTTTTCAACCGTTTCACGATGAGTGCTGGGAGGCAGAACGGGCCTGCTCCATGCGAGACGAGGACGATCGGTGCCCTATGTGCAATGCCCATGTGATGCATATGTTCGAGCTCCAGCATCCCGAGGTGCAGCTGCAAATCCGAGCAGAAATGGAAGGCGGCAATTCTCAAACATTCGGTTCAACAGCCAGGACGTTGCAACCGACCGACCCACTGGTTTTTGTCCGAACCAACGACGACTTGTTGCGTTGTATGAAGAGCAAATCGACCCGGGACGCGACCATTATCGTTTTACTATCTTTGGGGGTTAGACGCCGGATGGCTGAACCGCTGCTATCGACCAACGCCATGGTAGACCATTGTTTGTACAAGAATCTGGGCTGCGCTCAAAGCTCGGTTGGTGCTCAAAGCTCGGTTGGGCTGCGTCCTGAGTGAATGGTTCTGAACGGGGGTGCATCGTTCGAACACTTCTAGACGGTGCCGCGGCCTGGTTTGAAAAATGGCTGCGTTCAACTGGAAGCTTACAATCATTATCTCTGTCGTGCTGACGGTGCTCTTGGTGTCGTTGGTGATTTGGTGGAGAATAGCTAAGCGTGCAAAGCAGAAGAAGCGTATGCGGGACGAACATGAACTTCGAAATAAATGTAAGAACGGGAAGGAGGTAGTAGGGTGTTTGGGGAAGGTGGTAAACCCCGGGGAAGGTGTGTGTGCTGTGTGTGTACTTATGTGTGGAATTAGATCGAAAGGAACATGAAGGAGTTGAGAACAAAGCGAAATTGATGGAAGATAAAGGTCGTGCCGACAAGGACATCCAAGGTGGATTGGTAATGGATAGGAAGTCAGGAGACAATGCGGGAGACAAGAAGGTCTTGGGAGCGAGGCCGGAGAATGCGGCTGCATTCGTAGCTGATGAGTATAATGATCCGGACGCGGAAGTGGACGACGATGATGAGGAAGATGAGGAAGATGAGGATGAGGAGGGGGAGGAGGAAGATGAGGAAGAAGATGAGGAGGAGGTTTAACAAGTTTGCCTCTTTGGTTGACACACATCTTTGATTACACACCTCTTTGGTCTAGCTATTTTTATCAGCAAAATGAGCTGGTTAATTATCAAGTCACGTTTTTTGGTTTGTTTCGGCGACTGTGCTGCCTACGGTTGTAGCATTGTTGTTGCCTACGGCGGTGGTGATGGTTGTAGTGGTCTTGAACCAGGTGCTGGAGCCCAAGGTGTTGGTGATAGCAGGAAAAGATATTTTAAGGAATTGATCTTGAACATTATTATTAATGATACTATTCCATTCATGCATCATCATCGACTCACGAGGTTCCAATCTTATGCTTAGATTTTGTTCCAGTAAATTCCTGTTGGGTAATGGAGGTAGATCAATATTTATACATACATTACTATGAAGTAATTCATCAATAAATTCATCTACATGGAACAGTTTAAATGAACCATTATTTAATCTTAATCTTAATAATCTATTGTCAGTATAAAGCTCCTCAAGTTTGCGATATATCCTTTCAGGACTACCAGTCAATCGTAAGTAAACTGCGGATAATGCTTGTAAATATTTAAAATCAGTTTGTTCCATATATTCATCTACAACTGAATCACTTGGACCAATTTGTAATAACTTTAACAATAAACATAGAAATGGACAGGCTTTGTTATTACCTCCATATACGCTTCCTACATATTTCAAACCTGCTGCCTTATCCAATAAAGTTACCGCTATAATACACACCTATGTTGTGTAACACTTCCTATGTGTAACACCTTACACCTATGTGTAACACATAGTTTACCTATGATGTCCTAACTATGTGTAAGGTTATGCTAACTATGCGTAAATACATAGTGAGCTCCAGTTAGTATACATCCAAAAAGTGTGTGTGTGTGTTATACATACCATTCAAACCGAAACAATACTCCTTCCAATATGCCGAATCGTATATACGATTTCTTGTAATCTGATTAATAAGGAACTGAGGATTAGTCCCATGCACGCTGCGTGTTAATGGATCTGTTCTATTAGACATTATTTAAAAACACCCCAAACTGGGTTCGTCCCAAACTGGGTTCGTCCCAAACTGAGTTCATTTCCCGGTGACCTTTCTTCGAAGTTTTTTCTTTGCATTAGGACCAAGTTGCCTGAATGTTCTTTTGGCTTTGATCCTGGAGTTTATTTTCTCTCGTCTTTGTTGATTGAATGCTTCCTTCTTTAATTTAAGTTGTTGGATTTCTGATGCTTTAAGACATTTCTGTACTCTCAGACTATGTCCTGGTGAAAGTTCAATTCCCTTCCAATCTCTAACGCTGGTTATAACAGAATCTTTGTTAGTGAATAGCACGTATCCATACCCTTTACTCAAGTGGGTAATAGAATCACGAAGAAGTCGAACATTTCGGATATTACCATACTTCAGAAAACTCTCATACAAGTGGTCTTCACTCCATGATCGCGGTATGTTGCCAACAAACACAGAGTATAGACGATCGAATTTAACCTTCTTCGCGGTACCAGCTCTCTCCGCCTTCTCAATAAATAAATGTCGTTGACCATAAACAAAAGTATTCTTCAACAATGCTTTATACACATCCTGCTCCTCTTTAAACACAATATACATATAGCACGGCACCCCCTCTACAAACATAGTCTTCTTCTGCACCGCAACATGTCGAGGCAAATTTTGATACAAAGGATGTATAGGCAAACTCACAAAACGATACGACTCCAAATCCTTCTTTGTGAAACCCAAAAATCGAATCAAATCATACGGCTTAGACAATACACCCACATCCACATTCTTAATCAATACGGTTCGCGACAAATCTTCTTCACGTACACCTTCATCATCCTTCTCATCATCCTCCTTCTCATCATCCTCCTTCTCATCATCATCCTCCTTCTCATCACCCTCCTTCTCATCATCCTCCTTCTCATCATCCTCCTTCTCAGCCTTCACCTCCTTCTCTTCTTTCTTAGTCGTTTCAGTCTTGTGTCCATGTGATCGAGGTCGAGACCTAGTCGAGTCAGACTTGCCTGTAATGCGCACGACCTTGTCTGAGTTTGAGATCGAACTCGCCACCTGCCCCTTCGTCGAGGCGGTCGCTACCTTTCCGGCACCACTGGCCTTTCCGGCACCACTGGCCTTTCCGGCACCACTGGCCTTCAGCACTGGTTTGTGTTGAATGTCCTTTCCGCGCTTGCGAGACTCGCGCTTGCGAGACTCGCGCTTGGGAGACGCTTTCTTTACAGATACTCGTTCGGCCTTCCTGTCGACCCGCCCTTTTGAGTTGTTTCCCCCGACCCGTGCTTGGGTCTTCGGTTGTCCACGGGCCATCGAATTTTTATTCCAAGCGGAGCCCCTGCTCTTCCTCTTGCCGCCTCCTCTTGCCGCCTCCCACCGATATGGACCTTGCTGGTGTGAACCTTGCGGGTGTGAACCTTGCGGGTGTGAACCTTGCCGGAATAGACGGACAACATTTCACACTCGTTCGAAACTCTGAGAGCGCATTCGTAATATCATTTCATCGGGGTATGGACATCAGTACCGTACCAGTTACCGTCAGTGCCGACTCAATGCAGTCCGTGTCAGATCGGAAACTTGAGTGTTGTCACACACACTGCGCAACCAGACGATTAGAACCAACTTGGTGTAATTTCCGCATATATTGTGTGGTAATAAAAAAGAGATTACGTCCTCATTAAAAGGCGCAGGGTACATTGACTATGCCTCTTCCCGGGACGGTCATCTGAACAAATCGTCCTGTTTGGGGGGAAGGGTATCCGACTGGCAGAGCCTGAGCGACTGGCACAGGGACCGGCATGGGAGCCGGTTGCGTGGCCCAGAAGCGAATGACGGGTGTGAGAGTGGCAGCTGGAGCTGGAGCTGGAGCGGGAGCTGGAGCTGGAGCGGGGGCAGTGTGTGCGCATGGCTGATTGTTCTGGCACACATTCTCCGCTTGACATACGTGCTCTGTTTGGCACACATGATCCGCCTCGCGATGTCCACCACAGCATGTGGTGTGGTCGCATCCGCTATGAGGTCGACAACAGCTTTGTCCTCGTCTCTTGGAGGCCCGGTTATTCGACGAGCAGCAATGGTTTGAGCAGTGGTTAGAGTGGCGGCTTTTGCAATGATCCCTTGAGCTGCTTGCGTAACTCCCGGCCCGGTCGCCACAATAGCTAGAGCACTCGCTGCCATACTGGCTACTGCCATATCGGCTACTGCCGTAACGACTACTGCTATGATATCTGGTGGACCCAGACAAGAGGCTATAGGAGCCAGCGCTATTAAATGAGCCAGCTTCAGAGCCCGCGTCACGTCGCCGTCTACTCCCACTGGCAGGGACGAGATGGGTCTTGTCCTCACAATTGGACTCCAACTTTATCTGCTTACCCGAAGCCGGGTCCATGATATATGTTTCGGTCTTGGAGAATGCCATTATATATTTTTATTAATTTCACAACCAGAAAATTACCGACAATTAACTGGGACCGGGCGGACTGGCGGACGGGCGGGCGGAGGGGGGCTTTAATAATTCTAAACGCCGGATTGTAGAACGTATATCCACGTCGGAACGTTAAAGCAAGAATAACCATCAGGTCCGGACTGTATCATACTGTCGACTGTATCATACTGTTGGCTATTTTGTACCGTCCTTCAACCGAATCAGCTGGGACTGTAGAACTCGGATATAGCATAAAGCCATAAGTAGCAACATCTAAGTAGCAATCGACGTCTGGAGGAGAATGTATTGTAGCCCGGACGACGTGCTCCGGTACAATTTGCTAATTAGCGCCCTGACTACGGGAGGCAAGAAGGGGTGCCAGCATTACGAGCGGGGCTGTGCCGTGGTGGCCAGCTGTTGTAACAAACGGGTGTTCGGGTGTCGCTTGTGTCACGACGCCATGGCCTCGGATGGTCATAAACTCTCGCGCGTGTCCGCGATCCTGTGCTTGGAATGCGAGACGCAGCAGACACCTTCGGAAGCCTGCCAGGCTTGCGGCCTACGCTTCGCAAAACACTATTGCCACCGCTGTTGTCTCTGGGACAATGCCAGAGAAGTCTTCCACTGCGATCAGTGCGGTCATTGCAAAGTGGGTTCCAGTCAAGAGAACTTTCACTGTAACACATGTGGAATATGCCACTCAGCAGAACTCAAGACTTGTCTAAGTACGTACTCATATATTCCCATTATTCCAATTCCCACTATTCCAATTTCCATTATTCCAATTTCCATTATTCCAATTCTCACTATTCCATCCATTTCTCTTGTAGAAGGTGCAGCCGAAGACTGCTGCTGTATCTGTCTCGATCCACTGCTCTCTGGAACCAAACAGTGCTCCGTACTCACTAACTGTGGTCACATTATCCACACCAACTGTTTCGCTAATTACTCAGCCACATTGCCCTTGCCTCTCTGCCCTTTGTGCAAAACACAATGCTCATAAATCCGACGCTACCATCAGTATGGTACCTACCATCAGATAATTAATTCAGCCCCCCCAACCTAAATGTTTGCAATAAGCACACACAGGCAACACCTTGGTTGATTCTACGGTCACTGGAAAGTGCCACATTAGATTCAATTTTTGACGCCATTCAAAAAATATAAGGGATATGTACCGTTCCCTTCGCGGGTATGGTAAGCTGCATGTAACCAGACCCAGCCACCGGCAAGGGAGTAGTGGTCTGAGCTCCATACTGGGTGGTCTGAGCTCCATACTGGTGAGCTCCATACTGGGTGGTCTGAGCTCCATACTGGGTGGAGTCAACTCGGCTGATCGGCTGGATGATCGGTACCCATCGTCCTCCTCGACTCGCGGGCGGAAGACCGGCAGATTGCTGAGCCGCCATCGAATGAGCCACCACCGACTGGGTCCCCATCGCTTGCGTCACCATCGGCTCGGTCACCATCGGCTGAGTCACTATTGACTGGGTCACCATTGGTTGAGTCACCATTGGTTGAGTCACCATTGGTTGAGTCACCATCGGCTGGGTCAGGCGCATCGTGGCCGACTGGACGGGAGCCGCCTGAGACTGAAGAGCTACTGCCGGGGAAGGACTGTACCGGGGTCCTCCTCCGACTACGGCCGGATGAGGGATGTTTGCTGCAGGCCCAAGCTTACAGCCATGGGCGCAAACAACCGTCGGCGAACACAGGTGGCTGCTCGTACCGTGACTCACTTCCTGACACCCGCATTGACATACTCCCGCCCTCTGCTGACAGTTGCACTCTGATCGGCAATCAACATTTCGACAATCAACACCTCGGCAGCAATCGCACACGCAGTCACCGCACTCGCAGCCACGTTGGGCGCTATGACTGCACCCGCAACCTTGGGGACTTCCGCGACACTTTTGGCTCCTGTCGTGTACAGTCTTCGCAGTCCGCTCGTGCGCATTCTTTTCGGGCGCGCACCCGCACTGGCACTGGATGTTCCGCGAGTGGCGGTAACTAACAAACGAGCCGAAACGTTGCGAACTCAACGAACTACGCCGACTCCTAGTTCCCGCCGAACTCTCGGCTAAACAACCCACCGAGGGATGGTGAGCGGAGGGATGATGGTCGTTGCAGTTGGACTCCACCAGTATTTGCTTCCCTGTCTCCTCGTCCGTCAACCGAGTCTCCGCCTTGATGAATGCCATTTTTGCCCGTTTAAAATTAACCCGGAAAACGGCGCAAACAAACACTCGGATCGGGATCATCCATTCGTGGTCCCGAGAGAAGTCATCCACTCGTGATCCCGAGAGAATTGAATTCATCCGCTCATCTCCGACAAGTCATCCCCGCAAGGAATTATCCTCTCCTTCTCCTCCTGAAGAAGCCTCCAGCAAGAAGTTTTCGGGACGAAAAGCCGCTCAAAAAGTACACGGCACATTCACTGTCCCCTTGCCCGGAATCGTCATCTGTATAAATCCTCCAGGGGCCTTCGTGTGCGCCCAGAAACTCGTGGTCGCAGAATGACCCCCCTGATACGCGTGTGCACACGCGTGTGCGCCGCAGTTTCTTGACCGCTGCGACTGGCATTCATGGCGCCTGGCACAGCAACTACGGCCGCAGTGGTGCGGGCAAGTCTCCACGGCGCAGCAACTATGGTTTCGCGGTCGGCGAGGCTGTCGCGCCGCGCAGAAGCGGTCCCTATGCTTGCGGTCATGAGCCAACCCCGCGAGATCCGACAGCGCAGACAACCCTCTCTGCTTCAACCCGTCATTGCCCACCTCCTCTCCGCTAGGGGGCTCGTGCAGATGCTCCAGATCCTCACAATTCGAAACTACGCAGATCCGACGACCTGTCTCTGGATCGATGATCACTGACTTGGCCGACGTGAAAGGCATGATTTTTTTAATTCGCCTCATACCCGGTATAATTACCGACAACTGCACTGCCTAGCCGCCTTTCATATTCTGGACTTCAATTCGCTCACATACAATCGCGGTGAGTTGGGCAAGGGGAATCCTCTCGACAGTCCGCTGATCACTAGCACTTGGCCCATCAATATTACTCGGCCCGTCAAGACCATCCAGACCACTTGGCCCGCGCGATCACCGAGGCTGGGGTCATTAGTCCGTTGCAATGGCCGTAAACTCCTCTCCCATGCCGATAGCCGTGGCGTGATACGAGCCAAGGGCCAGCACTCGTTGGGGACTGAAAAGCGAGTCCTGCACAGACGCAGCCGTGCTCGTACCAATGCTGCTAGCCCGTCCCAAGGACGCCACGAAGCCCTTAGGTCCCAGAGCGCGGATGGGAGCTTCCGCCAACAACTTGATAGCCGAATTCGCCAACCTGTGGTCCTGGTTGCAACCCCACATGTAAACCTGACCCACGTCGCTAATAAACGCAGATTGGTTTCCACCGGCGAAGACACGCACTGGCGTCACCTCCTCTTGAAACGAAACACACTGCAAAAAACCTTTCACTCAACCCGAGTGCTCCCGACATGTGTGGCGCTTACGGCTGGAGGTGAAACACGGGTCATACGTTCCCCCGTCACTCCGCACTGACCCCAAGAGTTGTCGCCCCAGCAAAGGATCTTTCCTTCGCTAGTGAGGACCAGCATGTGCCGGCTACCCACGGCCACGTCAAGCACATCGTAACAGTCCAGACCGGATATTTTGTTCAAGTAGGTAGAGATGGGCTCGGGGACGAACATATCGTATCGCGACTCGCATTTCTGCAGAAACAGGGCGTTCATCCCGGGTCCTCGGTCTCAAGTTCGCACCGCGGGGTACGTTCCTCACCTCGTGTGCGAATCCCCTGGCCTCGTGTGCGAATCCCCTGGCTTCGTGTGCGAATCCCCTGGCCTCGTGCGCGAATTCCCTCCCTGGCTTACTCGTTGGAAGAGGGGTTCGTCGAACTGGCGGCCGGGGGAGAGTATTTCGTTCCTTATGCCCATGCCGAATTGGTAGAGGTAGACTCGGTGGGGCGTTTCGGTGAGTTTGAGCATCAGTACTCCGGCGGTTTCGCCGAGGACGATTTTGGCGCTATGGACGGCGCCCTCTTCGCTGAGAACCTGGGCGACCTCGAGGGGTTGGATAATGCGTGCACGGCCGGGCCAATTGCCCCAGAGGTAGAGGCGGCCGTCGAGGGAGAGGGCGATGCTCTTTTGGGCACAGGCGGCAACAGCGACGACTTTTTGCGCAGGTGGCAGCCCCGGTGTGGCTCCAAGGGTCGTTGGCGGAGTCTCCTGTGCCGGCCTGTCGAGCGGAATGGCGTCGTTGAGTACGGCCGGCGTCAAGACATCATCTACGGTCGCAAGCCCGCAGGCCTGAGAGGCACCCCAGACGAAAACGACTCCGTCCTCAGCCAGCGCGAGACAGTGCGCCTCGCCAGCCGCTACGTCCACGACCACCGCCGCCTCCTCGCCCGCCGGCTCCGACAAGCTGTCCGCCCAATTCCGCGAAGCTGTCATATTCTGCACCGACTCCCCACTACCCGCTCGTCGCACCGCAGCCGACGCCGTTTCCGGCTTCGGCATCGCTACCTTCGCCGGGGTACGTAACGCACCCACCTTTGGTCCCTGTCCCAACTGGCCCTGCAGTCCATGCCCCACCGTGTACACCTCGTTCGCCTCCGTCAGGAACGCGATGAAAGTAGACCCGCACGAAATCTTCACGATTCGTCGCCCAATCCCGTCGTAGGAAATCGGCAGGTGCTTCGGCACGCCCGGACCCGGCCCGGGAGACAATTGCTTCAACTCAGTCAACACTGACTCCACCGGCCGCACTTCCGCCGCACTCCCCTGCTTCTGACGCACTATCGAACAAGGCTTAACCCCCTCGCCCTTGGGCCGTCGCCCGTGCCCCTTGGGCCGTCGCCCCTCCCCCTTGGGCCGTCGCCCGTGCCCCTTGGCTCACCTTTATACTTGACTTCCGCGATCTCATTCCAGTACTTCTGTGCGTCCTGTGAATTATCCTGGAAGGGCTGGAAAGGTCGCCGGCCCCAGATGCGGCAGACGGGTCGACTGGCCTCCGTCAAACCGCGCGTGGTGGGCGCCATAGCGGCGGAACCTGTTTCTGTGACACTTGGAGGCGAAGTCGTGTTCTTCGGGCTCTGCTGGTAACTGAATGCAAAGAGAGGCTAAGATTCTGAAACCCTGCCTACCTGTTGACCGAAACTGAAGCCAAAACCGACGCGTTGGCCGCTGCTTCCTGCGCAAAGTTGATCTGTCATCAATTTCCCATTCACGTACCTCACATTCTTCTTGACGCCGGCGATCCTTTTCGGACGAGCATTTCATGGAAAAAATCGGCGAAAAGGCGGCTTCATCACCGGCGGGCGAAGAGGTTCTGAATGCGCTCTCGAAAGCAACCCTGTTCGTGGCCGGGCTCGACGAGGAACAAGTCAACAATGAGGTGCTCTATAAGGTGTTCGAAACCTTTGGTGAAATCCGGAACATCGATGTACCCTTAGAGAAAAATAGCAGTAAGTCATCCAATTAAAATCACGCATGCATGCTTCATCAGACAACCACCGCGGCTTCGGATTCGTCGAATTTGCCGATGTAGCCGATGCCCGGGAGGCACTGGAGAACATGAACGGTGCAGAGCTCTTCGGCAAAACATTAACCGTCAATTTCGCTCGGAAGACGCAAGCCTCCGGGCGAACTTGAATGCGCGCACACACGCGTGTGCGCCATGCAATTTTATCGCGAGCGCCCGTCTGCAAATGCATATGTGGCCCTGATGGACATTGCGCGATCAAAATTGGCCAAAGCTGTGCATTTCATGCAGTATTTGGAGGAGTGCGGGAATGTTCTGGCTCGTCTGAAACTTGTGCAGACATCTCTGGTGCATCGCAGCTCCCCGAACCGGTTGCCAGGCCGATGGCTCCGATGACGTTTGCTTTTACGTGTCTAAAAATGCGCTGAGACAGGAACGGAGCTTAGGTTTTTTTTTGGACAGGTTCCATCGTTGCCCAACATGTCTGACGAATTCGAGACCACTAACGCCGGTTCTTCTCATACCCGCCCCATCCAGGCCGGTAACGTGAAGAAGGGGGGCTTCGCTATGCTCAAGGGCCGCCCCTGCCGCGTTGTTGAAGTTTCTACTTCTAAGACTGGCAAGCACGGCCACGCTAAGGCATCCATTGTGGGCATCGATATCTTCACCGCGAAGAAACTAGATGAGAACTGTCCCACCTCTCATAACATGCTCGAGCCTATTGTGACTCGCACGCAATATGCCATTATTCATTGGGAAGACTCCGGGTTCCTGCATCTGCTCGATGCCTCCGGAAACCTCCGCATGGACCTTTCGTGGCCGTTGGGACGTGACGACAAGATCCTGGAGGAATGGAAGAAGCAGCTTGAGGCCGGACAGACCCCCAACTGTACTGTTATCAGTGCTTGTGGGGAAGAGAAGGTCCTTGGCCCCAACGAGAAATAAATCATTTTTTCAAAACGACGAATAGGTTCTGAATGTCTAGCCTGATATCTTCTTACCTCCTTAATGAGCAAACGCAACAATGGATGCGAAGCTGGCTGCCCGGTAAGGTCATCCATCACCAAGCTGAGTGACTTGTTCGATTCTGTGTCGTCTAGCCTGTGTCGTCTAGTCTGTGTCGTCTAGTCTGTGCCTATGTCGTCTATGTCCTTTACTTAGAGAGACTCGAGGGGCGCATGGTTTGGGTTGATAACTATTTGAAGAAGCCATTGCATGACTTGATATATTACAACAGTACCACGCTGGCATTTGCTGACAATCATCCCGGCCTATTTGCGCTGGGTATTTTGTTCACGGCGTATGCGGTGACGATTGTCCTGGCCATGATGGTGGGCCAACTCATAAAAAGGACGTGGCGAAGCCCGCCCGCCTCTGTCGACAAGAAAAACAACTAAGCACATCATTAAGCACATCATCTCCAATTGCACCAACATACACACCGACTTGCTGTAGAAGCTGTAGTGAGTGTGTCATAGTGTGTGACACACTACGGTTCCTGCGTTGTCGAGCATGCTAGGCAGTGGTGGTAGCTTTGGTGACTTTGGCCATATATTTTTTCCGCAGCACTTTCTGTTCGCTCAGTCGGAATTGCTCCCAGAGGTATCGCGGTAGTCTTTGGCACACATTGAGGATGACTTGGTGGGACCAATAGGGGCAGATGGTCGCGCGCATGGAGTCATTAACGGTTCGGTTGGATGCGTGGCAGGCCGCGCGCAGGCCGGCCCGAGCGTAGGCATCTGCGGATGGTACAAGTAGTGAGGGTTTTCGAATCTTCGACATTTTCGTCGTGACCATGAATGGCACTTGTATCTGAATGCCAAATTCGGTGGACACACACTCTGCCTGCAACGACCGACCAAGTCCGTCAATGGCGCCCTTCGTGCCAGCGTATCCCACCAACAACGGTTCTGCAACCAGCGAGGAAGCACTACCCATGAAGACCAACAGACCCTTGCCACGAGCTCGCATACCTTTGTACGCCAGGTGCGCAGCGATCATCGTAGACATCAAATTCACTCGAATCAACGTGTCCAGAAATGGCACACCCACCTCCTCGTAGTACATCGCACCTGGGTAACTCACACCCGCGCAGTTAATAAGACTCTCCGCCGTCGACAACTCCCTCTTCAACTCCTCGAAGCCAGCAGTCTTCGTCAAATCCGCCGAATCGAAGTCTGCCTGCACTGTCCTCACTGTCGTTGTCTTGGTCTCCACTTCACGCTTCTACATACACAACATGCATCGAGTACACACACACACGTGTGTGATGAACACACGTGTGTGATGAAAAGAAACACGAACCGTCAGAAAAGCACTTACCACAGCGTCGAGCTTCTCTTGGTTCCGGCCAACCAGGACCAATATGGGTATCCCGTTTTTTGCAGCCAAGTCGGCATACGCTCTACCGATCCCATCCGTGGCACCGGTGATGACAAGCTTGTCTCCTAGGGTCTTGGGCAAGCTGCGTCGTCGGCTACACACACCCGGAACAGTGTGCGCTACTTTTAGCAGCCACACGACCACAACCAAGAGACCAATGAACTCGAACATATTTTTGAACTGCCCGCCAACCAGTGCATTGCGCGCGTCGTCCACGATCAATCCAGGGCTAGTCTCCCTGCTCAAGTACTCCCCTTTTCAAGTGCATTGTTCCAAGAACATTGTTTCAGGTTTGTGTTACAAACCCTACAGAGCGGACGTGCGACAGGAGGTGAAGACTTTTCTTTACCTCCTGTCGCACGTCCGCTCTGTCCTCTAGGAAGAGTCCTCTGGGGAAGAGTCCTCTGGGGAAGAGTTCTCTGAGAACGTGCTAAGTGCGGAGTCTGTGTTCACACTGTCGAACCACGCTGTCCAACAGTTGGCCAAGAGGTAGCCAGCAGAGAGAAAAGGTGACTGACAGAGGTACCACCAAAAGGCACCTTACTGACTGACGTTGAAATTAACGGTGCACGGTAGTCGTTGAAAATGTTACTGCAGTTAAAAAAGGGCCTGTAGAGTACATGTCAGTGTGCTTCGCAGATAAAGGGTTACCAGATAAAGGGTTACTCAGCAGAAATGGCGGGAAACCATTCCAGGGGGGCCATGCCATGCAAGGCTTTGAATTCCAGATGTGTCAAATCCCTTTCACCTTCAACGATGACTCCGGACCCCTCTCAGGTCGCGACCCCTCTCAGGTCGCGACCC